TGATGTAATATATTCTGTTCTTTAAAAAATTTCAGAAAGAGACAATAATTGGAATCCCTTGAGAATCCAAAATGTAACTGTTTGGCCAGCTGATTTAGAGATATTGAATTGATCACAAATGTTCTCTCATATATCTTAAGCTTGTATTATATATATATATTTGGTGGTGGTACTGGGAATTGAACCCAAGGTCTCATGCATGCTAGGCAAGCACTCTACCACTGAACTATATCTCCAGCCCATTTTACTTTTTATTTTGAGACAGGGTTGTGCCAAATTGCCCAGACTGGCCTTGAACTTGTGATCCTCCAGCCTTGGCCTCCCCAGTAGCTGGAATTACAGGCGTGTACCACCACATCTGGCTTATAAAATGTTAAACACATACCACACCAATTTTAAAAAGTTGTATAATAGAACCTGACAAATGATTTCAGAGATTAAAAAGTTTTCATGTAGTAGTGCTCTCAGTGGGATTTCTAACCAAAGCAAGGTGAAGAAAAGTTCATGTGTGCTTATCAAAGTAGTTTTTCATGTTCTCTGGGGAAGACATCCCAAGGGAAACAACAACAACAGCAAACAAACTTTGAAAACCAGCAGATGGTGATGATGGAATGTGACAACCTCCAAACCAGGAGGACCACAAACATATTTGCTTATAATTATAAATATGCTTGCAAGTACACATGGCAGCTATCAACAGAGTGAGTGGCTAAGAATTGCTAAAGGAATAGTTCATGAATCCTGTTCCCCATGGAGTCCTGTTGTAAAGCAAGAGATGTGGTTTGCCATCAGCATTTTGGCCACTGGTTGAGTTTAGAAGATGACACTGAAAGAAAACATCACTTAAAATCTTATACATTTAAAAAAAAATAAGACTTTCTGATAAAAATTGAAAAATGATGCATAAGAACTCAAAAACTTAAAAACTGTTGTTCTGTGCAGTGGTAACCAATGGAGTTCTTAAATATACAGAAAGCTGAGCTTTAACAGAGCCCTTGGCAGAGGGTTGCTATCCATCACCTTGATCCATAAATTATTCATTAGAGAGGTAGCAAGCACCCCAGCTTTTGCAAATAGGAGTCTTATTCCAAATTTCGTCCTCCTTAACTTTAAAAAAAGTCCATTAGTTGTGTGATAAAGCACTCTAACTTATGACCTGTATCCTAGAAGTGTGGGCTAGGTGATGTCATGGCCTGCTGCAATGTCCCTGGGTGGCAGGAGAGAGCAGCCCCTGTGCATGAATGTGTGCACACACGTACGTGTGCTGAGACATGCAGTTGTCCAGCAACTGTCCCATGATAAATAGCAATTTGCAACTCCGAACCACAGAGAGGGTTTGTTTTACTGTTCTGTCAGTTCCAGTTACTTAACTGGTGGCAAATGTCCTCATTAAAGGCCATTAGCACATCAGGATATGTTTGTTGAGCCAGGACAAGGGCTAACCCTTTTTGGACATTGACCAAAATACATATTCTAGGGTTGCCAACCCCTCCTATTTGTGACAGTGGTAGGGATGAGAAGCACAGGAGGGCTCTCGGTCCCCTTGCAACCGTCCTGAGAGGTCTTTAGCAGGAGTTAGCAGAAATCTTCGAGGAATTCTGTAAGTCAAGACTGTAAAACCATAAAGTGGTGTTTGGCTGTACATTGAAATATTATCATTGTTTCCCTGAAATAGAGGTTTCTTGGTTTCTTTTGGCTGCTTTAGAATTACACGTCTAATTAGTGGTTGGCTGGTATTGAGCTATTGATAGCTCCCAAGAAATGGGGGAGTGAGTAGAAATGGTGAGAGAAGAAACATTTGAAGGATGCTGTGGCTGGAGCGGCAGAGAAGCCTGGTGGGAAGGAGGGCAGCACCCGGATGCAGGGCTACAGGGACAGTGGTCCAGGAGCAGGGCCCTAGGGCCCACCCGCACATACAGCCCTCCTTGTTGGTGCTCTTGTTTGCTTCGGAATCCCCTGGCCTCCTGGTGATCGTCTTCTCTATAGAGCCAGGGCCACAATGGCACAGGTAGCATGCTGATGACATGGGAGGCATCCGGCCGCGCCTGGTGATGCTGTCCAGTTTTACTTCCATGCTACAAAAACTTGGCTACAGGTTTTCTGTTTGGGTCAGTCACATTATTCCTTTGTGCACTGTGTGTGTAGAGGTCATCCCAAACTTGAGCCTCTAAATGGTTCACAGTGCCTTGGGCCAATGAAGGAGGGCAGATGAAGGAGGGCAGACCAATGCATTGGCCTTTATTTTGTGGGGAATAGGTGAATATGCAAACGGAGGGGAGGTTTTCCCAGCTGGGGAAATGGAACTCTAGACTTGCAGGGCCAGGCACTGTCTTTTCTCTCAAGGGTCACTATAAGGGAGAAAAAAAAAATGTAATGAAAAGCAACATAATTGAATGTTTTAATTCGAGAGATCCCACATCTACTAAATTAGTGGCAAAACTGTGACCCTGGGCACCAGCTAGCCATGAGATCAAACCCAAGGCTTTGGGGTTCCTAGTCTCACGGCCTCAGCAGCCTGCCCCCTCTGCAGCTCAGTTGCCTCATCAGAAATCAGAGACCAAGTGCTTATCTCACAGTGCTCTGAGGATTAAATGAGATGCAGCTTGTGAAAGCCAGTGCTTTGAGGGGCACTTACAGAAGGCAGGTTCCCTTCTTCTCTACTTAAGAAAATTACGATTTAGGAGTATGATAAATAAAGCCAATGGTAGAAACGTATTTTCAAGTGCAAATCGGGGGAAAGGCTAGACGACGAAGGAGAGCCTCGCCGGAGCAGGCGGAAGTGGGCAGGTTCACCGCTTCGTGCAGATCTAGCGGGCTCTGGAAAGTGCAGGCCCGCGACAAAGGGAAAAGTATTCTTTAAATTAAAAAGAAAAGAAAAAGGCTTACAAAAACATCGTTGGAGTTTGTTGGCCAAACATCTCAGGCGCTGTCTGAAGACTGGAAAACTCAGGAATTTGGAAATTCTACCCTGTCTTCATTTTCAGTGGCAGAAACCCCAAACTTCCTGCTCTGGAGATGGGGGTGGCCTCCGGGATTTTTGCCAGAAAAGGGTTGGTTGGTTCTCTGGGTCGGTGCTGCCACCTGATGTCTGTGAGTGGCATTGCACGTCTCCAGCTCCCATCAGCTCAATGAAATCCAACCGAGAGTTTTTTGTGCGGGGCTAGGAATGGGTCGCAGGGCCTCACGCGTGCTAGGCAAGTGCTCTACTGCTGAGCCACACCTCAGCTCCGGAGACTGAGTTTTAAAATCCATTTAGCTTAGCTGTTCATATTCCCCCATAGTGATAAGGAATTTACTCCTTGCATTTTTCTACTTTTTTTTTTTTTTTATTGCAATGGTGAAGCGCTCTGAGACAATGTGATTGGCTGTGAAGTCACCAGCCACCTAATCAGGGAGCTCTGCGTGCTGTGACTGTGACCTTTTCCTGATCTGTTCTTTGCCTTCTCAGGAATTCACAATGGAGTTGTCTGTGCTATCAGATTCCAGCCCTTGAGGCCTCCAGTAAAACTCCGGGGAAAACCAGCCAGACCTTTTTGCTCAATATTTGCAACTTTCGTGTTCTTCTTTAAAGTTATTTTTGCCCTTCATGGTGTGTTATTGTAGAGATGCTAGCAGAACTTGCTGGACTAGTTGGGAAAGGGGCTGGGATTTGGGAGATAGAGAGATGACGGGACCCCAACAAGCCCCGCGGTAAGCCCCGAGGTGCTTTTGGACTGGGTGAAAAGTGAAGAAGGTTTATAGAACTGTTCAAAGAAAGTTCCACTGACAGGCTTCTTTATGTGAGTGGGGCTGGGGGATGGGGGGACCCGGAGGAATGTAGCAGAACCACCTCTGGAGACTCCTAGCCTAATAGTGGGTGGAAGGAGCCTCGCAGGGCGTTCTGGGCCCTGAAGATCCCAGTCTCACATTTGCCGAAGCACCTGGGATGCACTTATGCATGCCCACTACTCAACAAAATACCAACTGAATGCACAAACCGGGGAGCAGGGGGCTTGGAACCCCAGTGTGAGTGGGGCCCCGGAGGAGATGAAGCACAGAGGCTGGGTAGAGGAGGGTAGCATGAGTTGGCAAAGTGCTGGTCCTTCCTCTCTACCAGAAGACCCTGTCCTGGGAGTGGGGGCATGGCAGGGGTCCCCTCTGTGTGCCCTTTTGGAAGCTCTGGCACCAGTTACCTTTGTCACCGTGAAAAAGTCACCTGGTGCTCAGGGTTCCTAGGATGAGTGGAGCAGCTTGGCTTATTTCCAAGGCTCTCCACAGCTTTGAAGCCAATTTACCTTGGGAACCTGCAAGTCACCAACAGGTGTCTTCATGCTTTACCGGGCAGTACTGTACCCAGGAATGTCACAGAAGGAAGCACGTGGACGTGTGTGCTCAGACAATTCTCGGAGCAGGAGGAACAGTTTAGACAGCAAAACATCGGATGTGCTTTCAGGGACAATAATAAAGGGACTTATAAATCAGCAATGGTGCATCTGCCTAAGAAAATACTATGTAGCTTTTTTTTTTTTTTTTTTTCCTTTGGTGCTGGTGATTGAACCCAGGGCTTTGTGTCTGCTAGGCAGGCTCTCTACCCCTGAGCTACACCCAGCCCACTGACTATTTTATAGAATAACATTTAATGATGTAGTAAAAACTTACCTAGCATATTAGATGAAAACTCAGTTTACTAGACAATGATACTATTTTTGTAGAAATAAAAGTATGTAAATTGCATGTTTGGAAGAGAGGGGGATGCTATTTAGACAAGACATCTTTGGGAGGCAGTTTCCTGAGTGATTTGGTTTTCTTTGTGCTCATCAGTATTTTCTAAATGCCCTGCTAGGAACAGGAATCAATTTTGTAAAAAGAAAAAAGAATGATAAAAGTCTCTTTAAAATATTTCATCTGTTTTGATGGACACTCGCTGGTGCCTGCCATTCCATGTGCAGGGCTCTGTGTGACCTTCTGATTCCTGTAGATGGTGACAGAAGACTGACTCACTGTCACCTTTGCCTTCCCAGGAGACACAGCAGCATGGCCAGTGTGCTGTCTCGCCGCCTTGGTAAGCGGTCTCTCCTGGGAGCCCGGGTGTTGGGACCCAGTGCCTCCGATGGGCCATCAGGGGCCAGCTTGCCCTTGGAGCCACAGGCAGAAGTTCCGGAGGGGGCTGCTCCCCAGCCCTTCCTCGCCTCCAAGGACCCTACGTGCCAGGAGCAGCCCAAGGAGGTCCTCAAGGCTCTGGGCACCACTGGCCTTCAGCAAGTGGCCTTTCAGCCTGGACAGAAGGTAGGTTGATCCCAGTGTGGCTAGGTGTCCCATCTCTAGACCTTGTGGCTGACAGGCTGAGGTCACCCCAGTGACAGGCCAGAAACTCTCCAGCCACTAGTGTGAGTGCAGACCTTTCCCTCCATCTCTGGAATTGGAGCGAGAGCTTGCCTCATTCCAGACTCCAGGCTCCTCCTCGGCTGTTGTTTGGAGCAGAAGGTGGCCAGACATTCTGGGCTGTTCCGCACCTCAGTCTGAAGTGTGGGCTTAGCTCAGTGGCTCTTAATTTGCCTCCATTTTCAGCTTTGCAGAAGAAGGGAAAGGACCTCAGATTGTAAAGTCAGAGAAGATTAGGTTTTGGATATTTTAGGAGATGAAGAGGTTTGTGTAGTTGGAGTTTAATGTGAATTTCCAGTGTCCCCTCCCCAGTATCACCTCGGCCTGTTATTATCCTTACATCTAGATGCCTGGGGTTCTCTGTCCTCATCTTTTCAAGGACCCATGGAGACTCTGCCTCTGTCTCCCCACGAGACAAAAGTGCCCCCCAGGCCTCTCTTCCCATGAGATAAAGTGACTTCCAACTCCAAGTGTCCCTTGAGAGAGGTCAGCCTACCTCTACCCCTTTCTGGCTTATCCTCAGGGAGACTGAGAATTCTCTGAAGAGAAGAATGCAGGGTATGAGAAATTCTGGGCAAGAGCATTTGGTGGGTGCCAGCAGATAGGCAGGATTTCAAGAGATAAGCAGGGCAAGAGATCAGGAAGATGGGTACAGATTCCAGATTCAGAGAAATCTCAGCTACTGACATGTTCACTGTCTTCCAGTCTAGAGAGTGAATAAGGACCTCTTTGGGGGAAGAACTGATCCAATGTGGCTAGTCTGGGTACTTGGGTGGGCAGCAGGTGCCTGGGAACATCTGCTCTTAGTCTGGTTTCAGCTGTAATAACAGAATACCTGTGACTGGGTAATTTATGTACAATAGTTATTTGGTTTGTGGTTCTAGAGGCTGGGAAGTCCTTGGTGCTGCATCTGGAGAGGGCCTTCGTGCTGCGTCATCCCATGGTGGAAGGTGGAGGGGCAGGAGAGGGCAACAAGAGAGAGATAGTAACAGGGGGCTGAAGTTGCTTTTATAACAACCTGGCCCACTGGCGACATATCTAACCCACCCCCATGGTGGTGGCATTAATCCATCCAGGAGGGCAGAGTCCTCATGGCCCAATCATCTCCTGATAGGTCCCTCCCCTAACACTGTTGCACTGGAGATTAAGTTTCCATCACATTCAGACCAAAACACCCATGAATTAAGGATAAGTGAGGTGAGAACTGCTGTGTGCTGACTTCCGGCTGTTGTTCCCTGCAGGTCTATGTGTGGTACGGCGGTCAGGAGTGTACAGGCCTGGTGGAGCAGCACAGCTGGGCAGAGGACAAGGTGACGGTCTGGCTGTTGGACCAGAAGTTACAGATCTGCTGCAGGGCGGAGGAAATATGGCTGGCAGAGCTGCAGGGCATGATGCCCCAGGTGCCACCTCCAGAGTACGGGGCCCAGGCAATGGCTTACAGACCTGTCTCCAGGAACATTGATGTCCCAAAGAGGTTCGTGTGGGCAGTGAGGGGTGTGAGCGGGGCTGCTTGGAGGTGGGGGGATGGTGGGGACAAACGGAATACAGAGAGCAGGCATCCTTTGGAGGAAGCCAGCTGGGCGTCTTTTCCTGCCCATAACATTATTCGGGGTGACACATCTTTACTTTAGCAAAGGGCTTCTCACCCCCTGCGCACTTAAGGCAAACTCAGTTCATAGTTTTTCATGAGCAGAGACAGGAAGAAATGGCTCGGATCAGGAGGCAGCAGACAGGTTTAAAAGGGCAAACAGTAAATAATCGGGGCTTCGTGGGCCAGTCACTGCAGCTCAGCCCCACCGCGGTTGCGTCCCAGCAGCCACAGATGATGAGTGAAGTCAGCAGGCTCAGCTCTGCTCCCGTGAAACTTCATTTATGGATGCTCAGACTTAATACAATTCTTATGTGTCACAGGTCAAGAAATAATATTCTTCTTTTGATTCTGAAAACTATTTAAAATGTCAAACCAACCATAGCCCCCCTAAAAATTTTAAAAAGAAAATCTATTTTATATACAAGATGTGCAAGCACTTAAGCCCTGAGCCACCTCTCCTTCTCTGTCTGTGGGTGCTAGTGCCATTGGTGGGAGATGCGGTGTTTTGAGACCAGAGCCACAGTATTTCAGTGGAAAACCAGCAAATAAATTATTTTTTTATTCTGTGGAAATTTGAAAATTCAAAGAACATATTAATAAACACGTTTAACACATTGTGTGGGTCTTGGTTTAGCTGCTTCAAACCCAGTTGCATAGTTTAATAGACCTGAATTGTGAAGAATGAATTAATACAGTCCTTTGAAATAGACCTCCTAGATGTTGATTTCTGACTAACTTTTCCTAATATTTAGCATGAACTTACAGATAGTCCTAATGTTTCTTTTGAACAATATAACTGAATATGAATTGTTAAAATCACATGTAAAACTTTGTGGAACTTTGCTGTATAAAGCATGGAGATTTGCACCAGATTTTTCTTGTGTTTCTGGTCTGTTTACTCATTGGCTAATGTAGGAGGTTTCATTGACCTTCAGAAACTAACAGAATGCCTTGTTTGCTTTGGAGGAGAGGAGGAAGATATTGATTTGTGTAATATTCCCCTCTAAATTTAAGTATGAGAATAGGAAAAGAGGTAGTTTTTATGCTTTTTGGATTCCAGTGGGCATCTTGCATTTCCAACTTTGCTGTATCTTTTTTTTTTTGGTGTCTTCTCTCTTTTCCCAAATAAAATGCTGCATGTGAGGCTGTGGAGTTAAAAGCCAAGTCAGGGGAGCACGGGGCTGCCCCAGGGCGTCAGCCCGGTTGAAACAGAGGACCCTGTCATACTGGGGCTGATATTGTAAACATCTTTCAGAAGGGGCATTTTTCATGAAGAGGGGGGAAAGACCTTGCTGTTTCTGGAGCACACACTGGCTGATTGGAGAGGGGCTCTGTGGGGACAGTGCAGAAGTGTAAGACGATCCCATGAAGATAACCGGAAGTGGCGTCTCTTTCCCCGGGCACTGCAGACCAGCTGGCCCAGGAAGTAAACTTTCCCACCTACCCATTTGAATCTAGGAAGTCAGATGCGGTGGAAATGGACGAGATGATGGCGGCCATGGTGTTGACATCGCTGTCCTGCAGCCCGGTTGTGCAGAGTCCTCCTGGGGCCGAGGCCAACTTCTCTGGTGAGCAAACAGAGGCGGAAGGGTCTGGGCATGCAGAGGCTGGTGACTGACACCTGTGCTCTGAGTAGCTGGTCACAGCCGGCTTGGCAGTAGGATTTCCCGAGGTCCTTCAGACTGCCTGAGTGACATTGAGTCAGAAGCTTTGTCCTTTTCCCTCAGTTTCCTCATCTGGGAGAAGCTTCCTGGTGCACTGTGGAGGTGATTGAGCTCAGCACTGAGCCAACTGGCCACTGGAGTAAGTTCTGCTGTGGCATTAAGTGAGTGTGGCACTTTGATGGGGGCCTGAACAAGGCCAGTAGAGGAATATTTCGTTCACAGAGGTAGAAATATGCTAAACAGTCCCCTCATGGCCTCAAGAAAATTCATGCTGCTTTTCCAAGTGCCCAATTCAGCCTTGCAAATTAGTGTGGGCCTACAGGTCAAGGACAGGAATCAATGAGCTGAAGTCTCAGCTAAATCTCATTGCTTCATAAAAACCAATGGTATGACTTCAGACTTACAAATTAAAACAAAATTCTGGCTGCAACCTCAGAATACTTTCTCAGTGATACGAGGGGAAGAAAGATTGCATCAGTTTTTTTGACAAGACCAATAGGGAATCTGAAGTTTTCTTGGAAATTTGTTATAGAGCTGGCCTACCTTACACCCAGGGAAGAACTTTTTCATCTATGTGACCTAACTGAATAGCAAGCTACTTAAAACTTAGGGGAATGTAGAGTTAGCTCTAAGCATGTGCCAGTAGGAAAGTGCCCATTACATGTGTTCCTCGTATTTAGTCTCCCTAGATAGGAAGTGAATATGAAGGACAAATTGTTTTTTTTTTTTTTCACCCAAAGCCTGTTGGAAGGTGTCTCTGCACTGTGAGGACACCTAGAGGTGAAGCTCAGTAGTGCATGTCTGCTTGATGAGCAAAACCCAGAGGAGGGAAGTCAATTAGTTTTTAGGAAGTCCTGCAAATCTGGGTGTTTTAGTCAGTTTTTTCACTCCTGTGACTAAAGGTTCTAACTAGAACAAGTATAATGGAGGAAAAGTTTATGTGAGGGCTCACGAATTCAGAGGTCTTAGCCCACAGAAGGCTGGCTCAATTTCTATGGGGCTCAAGATGAGGCTGAACATCATGGTGGAGTGTGTGGCAGAGGGAGCAGCTCACGTCGTGGTGATCAAGAAGCAGAGAGAGAGCGACTCCACTTGCCAGATACAAATATATATAATGCCCACCTCCTCCGGCCACACCCTGCCAATTCACACTGATTAGGCTAAAGCTGTCACCCAATCATTTCTCCGCCAAACTTTCTTGCATTGTCTCACATGTGAGCTTCAGACACCTTACATTTAAAGCATAACACTGGGAGATCTGGGAGGTTGGATCAACAGATCCAGGAAAATGCCCTGAAGGAAAAGAAAACTACCGACTCCAACTCCCATCAGAAGTGTGTGTGTGCACTCACACACGCTCATCCTCCCACGTGCATATCACCAATCACCTGCCTGAATCCTGTTAGCTTCAGTCCCTTTTTGACAAAACTTTTCATTGTCTTAAAAAGATTTCCATTCAAACATATTTCTTTTTTTTAAATGTTTATTTTTTAGTTGGTCACAATATCTTTATTTATTTATTTTTATGTGGTACTGAGGATCGAACCCAGGGCCTCGCACATGCTAGGTGAGCACTGTACCACTGAGCCACAACCTCAACCCTGTCAAACATACTTCTGATCTTATAATTGAAATTAGTGGAAACGTAAGTCTTCCTTGGTAATTAATTATTTGAAGTTTGTAAAGTGAGGTACACACAATAACCCACCCCCCCCCCCCAAACTGCATTAATCATGAGTACTGTTTGCACAAAAACCACCTGCATCCTTTGGTCTATGTATTGTTAGGATGGTGCTCTGAGTGTGTATACACAGGGGATTGTGAATATTTTTCTTTTTTTTCCCTACGGTACCAGGGATTGACCCAGGGTCTTGTGGATGCTAGACATGTGCTCTGCCACTAAGCTACATCTCCAGCCCATAAGTATTTCTTAAAAGTTCACTTGTAAACTGTCACTGCAATGCATTTGCAAAGGAGTACTTTGTTCTCATGATATACAATATTTATCTGGTATCGCTTCCGTAGAAAAACTTCTGAGAAAGAGCTTGTTGCTGGCTGACCCCTTTGTCCCTAGTGCTGGTCATCCTAGATGTAGTGTTCTGCTCCCTGCCCTCCTCTCCCTGATAGATTACCTGATTGGAATGCATTTTTCAGGACTTGAGCAAGACAGACGCCCCTCGTGCACCCCCCCCCCACACTGTGCTCCTCAGCTATGCATCGTCTCCCCTGTTGTCTTGGGGAGGTGGCATTTAGGATGAGCTTCCTGGACTCGTGTTCCTCAGCCAGGCTGGAGGCAGGAGAGGCTCCCCCTGCTTTTTAGCATATACAGTGAGAAAAGAATTTCAACTCAGTCTCTTTCTATTAATCCTGCACAAAAGGAAGTTACAGTGTGCATCTGCTGGTCAGGGATGACCGATGTGGCTGTGGCAGAAAGTGTCCAACAGGGTAGACCAGTTCTACCAGTAGATATTGCTGCAGTGAATGGACCGGCTCCCTAACTTTTGCTGCAGGCCTGAAAAGGACTTTCTGTTTTGATTTGTTTTTTCTTTGTGCCTGGGAACAAGCCCTGAGCGTCCTCTCTCATCTTCTTTCATCTGGCCAGCCTCCCGTGTGGTCTCGGGTGACCCGTGGAAGGAGAGCGGCGATGTGTCAGACAGTGGCAGCAGTACCACCAGTGGGCACTGGAGCGGGAGCAGCGGCATCTCCACCCCTTCGCCGCCACACCCCCAGGCCAGCCCCAAGTATTTGGGGGATGCCTTTGGTTCTCCCCAAACTGATCATGGCTTTGAGACCGATCCTGACCCTTTCCTGTTGGATGAACCAGCTCCACGCAAAAGGAAGGTAGGTGCCTGGCGAGCAGGAAGGGCCAGCTCTGGAGCAGCAGGGACCCCACGGCCCCAGATGGTCACCACTCCCCCCTCTACAGTTCTCCTTTGCTACGTCTGCTACTTTGTGGTGTTCCTGGGACCGGCTCCTTCTCTTGGATACCACTTTTTCTTTTTAGCCTCTACCCCAGTCCCTGCCTCCTTCCCTGTCCTCCTACAGAGGGCCGCGCATGAGGGGCTGCAGGTGGACTCATAGCTGCAGCACCGGGCACTGCTGTGTCCCCAGGACCACTTGCAGGGCCCCCTGGTGGCCATTTCTCTGCTCCCAGAGAAGCCCCTTCCCTAGAGCCTTTTGCTGGGTCTGCAGAGGATTGCAGCCGGCAGAGGGCCCCACCGGGTGAGGATGAACGAGGGGGTGGTGGGGAAGTGTGCCAGGTACCCAGACTTCCTTTTTCCCCTAGAACTCTGTGAAGGTGATGTACAAGTGCCTGTGGCCCAACTGTGGCAAAGTTCTGCGCTCGATCGTGGGCATCAAGCGACACGTCAAAGCCCTCCACCTGGGGTAGGTACGGAACTCAGGGCCTCTTGCCTGTGGTGCCATTTAGGTGTCCCTTCACCTGGATACTTCCCCAAGACCCAGAGCCCAGGTGCTTTCAAGGAAATGACTTGCTGGGAAACCCCTGTACTGACCCCTGGCTGCTGTCAGGATGATGTCCTTGTTGGGGAGGACAGTCCCTCACTTCCTGGTGAATGTCCATGCTATTTGTGGAACCGAGCCCTGCCTGCCTTATGGATCTGTCTCATGCCCCATGTAGGAAGCAAGATGTTTTAGTTCTGGGTAGAAATAGGGTAATTTGGTCCATTCACTGATGGACCCTGTAGCCAAGACATGGAGTGGTCAATGCTGTACCTGCTTCCCCCTGGGAGTTGAGTATCCATCAGCACTGAGGTGGCACCAGGACGTTGACTCTGTGCAGAGCCAGCCTAGTGACTGCCCTGGCAGGAACTGATTCAGTGTAAGGGAGTGGGTGTGCGTACGTGCTCTGTGAGGGTGAGCCTTTGTGCCCGGAAAAACAGTTTCTGCTGATGTGTGAACACGTAGTCCCTGGTGACACTTGTTGGGAACAGGGTGTCTGGGCACTCTCTTGGGCTCCTTCTCTGACTTGCTGGGTAGCCCCAGGCAGTGGCTTCCCTCTTATACCTTGGTTTCCGCTGGCTGCGGAGGAGGGCTGCATGTCCCCAATGATAACCTCATCTCCTTCTGCACAGGGACACCGTGGACTCTGACCAGTTCAAGCGGGAGGAGGATTTCTACTACACAGAGGTGCAGATGAAGGAGGAGTCTGCTGTGGCTGCGGCAGTTCCCTCTGCCCCTGGGACTCCCACCGTTGAGCCAGCTCCCACCCCCCGAGTGACCAGCCCATCCCTTGCCACTCTTCCACTGCCTCTGTCCAAAGCCCAGACCTCTGGCCCGGAACACTCTGGTCTGGAGTCTCCCCTGCCCTCGGGTGCTCTCAGCAAGTCAGCTCCTGGCTCCTTCTGGCACATTCAGGCTGACCATGCATACCAGGTATGGACGGCGGCTCTCAGGGGTTCAGCCTTGGGTCCCAGCCAGTCACTGGTCAGCCGAATCACAGGCCCCTGACCCCCCTGATTGAAGACTGAGCACTTGGACCACATTGATAATCTTCTCCAAAAAAGGAAACGAATCTGACATCACTGTCAGTAAAAGTGGGGATTCCTAGACCCCTCCCATCAGTCATTGTCAGGAGTGGTCCTGAGGAACCCAGCTGAATCTCTGCGTGACCAAGCTGATGGATTTGGGCTGGGGTGTCCTCCCATTGCTGGTTTATTTATTTATTTATTGTGGTATTGGGGATTGAACCCAGGGCCTTGCACATGCTGGGCAAGTGCTCTACCACTGAGCCACATCCGCAGTCCCACATCTCTGGTTTAAAAGGTGATGCAGTAGTGTCTTTGGACTTCTTGGGGGGTAAATCTTTGATTTCTACAGTTATGTTAATCAAACAACCCTCTTTTGAATACCTGCTGTGTGTCAAACATTGGGCTGAGTCAGCCTTTAGAAAGAATCAGACACAGTCCCCACCCTGTGGAGAGTGTGCTATAGCTGGTGAGGAAATGTGTGGAGCCTGGCTAATTATAATAAGGAGGCCAGTATTGTTTACTGGAGGCAAAAGAAGTAATTGTGTATAGAGGAGGGATCACACTGTTATGCTGAAGCAGGTAGGAAAGTTGTCACAGGGAGGTGACTTTAGGATGATCTTCCTGCACACAGTAGGTATGTGTGCAGGTTCCTGTGCACTGGTTTTAAAATCTTTCTGTGCCCACAGCTTGGTCTTTTTAGACTCTGGACCAGTTTGCAAGTTAGTAATTAAAAAGTAGTTCTTCCTATCAGAAAACTTAAAAAAAAAATGCGCTGGTTCTTCTTCTCATTGAGCGAGTAGCCACTTTGCTATTTCACCTTTGGCTAGTGTCCAGCTCTAGCTGACCCTGTGGTGCCTGGACAATGTGTCTGGTATTTTTGCAAGGGTCTCTAAACCGGACATCCCTGACCACATAGTTACCTGGTGACTCAGTGTTGTATTCTACCAGTTCCTCCCCCACTCAGATGTTTTAGACTTTTCTTGGCAACTGCCTGTGGCATATTCTTGGTAGGTGATCTAACCGAGAAGTTAGTGCCCTGCGGGATTGAGTCACCTACCTGGCATGTAACCAGCTCTGAGACGAGGGCTCCAAAGCAAGGTTGGAGCCTGGTACCAAGGATACTACTTTGAAGAGCTGGGTGCTCTGAGCTTGCTCTGGGGAGGACCCCTCTGGTGTGCCCCAGGACGTCTTCCCAGTCATCTCACGTAGACAGAGGTGCACTTTCTGCTGTGGAAAGTGACATTACAGGCACGCTGGGCAGACTGGGGACTTTCTGAGCTGGAACCCCAGTTGACGAGTCCTTGTCCTCACAGGCTCTGCCATCCTTCCAGATCCCCGTATCTCCCCACATCTACACCAGCATCAGCTGGGCTGCTGCTCCTGCCGCCGCCTCCCCGCTCTCTCCGGTGAGTGACCTTTAGCACTCTGGGGCACTGGTACAAGGCCAGGGCTCTTGCACACACCTGCAGGGCTGCTGGCCATCTCTTCAGTACACAGACCATGGTGGGGGTTGTCACTGGGCCTCTGGACCCCAAACTTTGTGAAGCTCTCCACGTGTTGTCCCTCCCCCGCCCAGTACTCCTCAGCTGGTCATAGTCCATCTCAGAAGCTGAGGCAAGGTACCTGCCCAGAAAATCACTGGGGGGGGCTGGGGTCAGTTCCCTGCCTCTGAGTGTTGGTGCTTGTTAGAGTTTTAATGCCAAGAGGAGAGGAAGCGGGAGAATGTGGGACAGTCAGAAGATGGCTCTGTAAGCTCTGTGTGGCTGATCAGAAATCTCCAGGCCTGTGTGGACCAGCACCTTCGGTCGCTACGTCTGAACTAAAATGAATCATAAGTTGTTGACACCACGTGTGCTGGGCTCTGATCTCAAGTATGCGCCACAGGGAGGTGTCACACTTTGCAAAATCCAGTTGCTAGAAGGTGCCATTGATACAGCAGGATGCCCTCACTTGTTCCACATGTGGGAACTCTGTCTAAATCCTCTCCGCTGCAGCCTCCCTCAACCTACCTTTGGCTGCTGTGAGCCTCTCTACCCACAGCGCCCTTCCAGAGGAGGCCTTGTGCCTCCTGTGTTGGCACTGGCTGTGGGGTCCAGCAGTGCACCCAGGAGCTCGGGAAGTGTGGCCTCCTGTCCTGGAGGATGCCCTTGTGCTCACAGCCTGTCCTTACGGCCCCATTCCTCATGCCCAGGTTCGGAGCCGGTCACTCAGCTTCAGCGAGCCGCAGCCTCCACCTGCAGCAAAGTCTCACCTGATCGTCACCTCTCCACCCCGGGCCCAGGGCAGTGCCAGGTGAGATGTCTGCTGCTGTACTCTGACTTTTTTCATTTTGGTAATACGGATTGAACCCAGGGGCCCTTAACCACTGAGCTACATCTATGTCCTTTGTTTCATTTTATCTAGAGTTAGGGCCTTGCTGAGTTGCTTAGGGCCTCAGTGAGTTGCTGAGGCTGGCTTTGCACTCACAGTCCTCCTGCCTCAGCCTGAGCCACTGGGATAATAGGCGTGTGCCCCCACGCCTGGCTGGTGTTTTGTTTTTTGTTCCCCGTCTCCTGATAGTGTGGAGCCTGAGTTCAACCAACGGTAGTTAGTAGGATCGGTCCCCAGAGGGGATCCCGGGTGGAGGACACACTGGAAGGGCTGGCTTCTGTCCCCTGAGCCTCTGACCCGTTGGGCCTTTGGGGGGCCTGTTTGCCCAGCTTCCTGCCTGGTGCCGTCCAGGTCGTGACTCTGCATTTGTTTTTTCTTTTGACAGGAAAGCCCGTGGGGAGGCCAAGAAGTGCCGCAAGGTGTACGGCATCGAGCACCGGGACCAGTGGTGCACGGCCTGCCGGTGGAAGAAGGCCTGCCAGCGCTTCCTGGACTGAGCCGCCAGCCACTCTGCTCCAGCCCTGCCCGGCAGCCTGATGGCAGTCGGCCTTGGGGGAAGCAGAGAGGTGCAGAGCCCGAGCGGGTGGTTCCCACTCTGTTGGCTCAAGTGTAACACTTAAAACACTTTCTCCCCCTTGTGGGAACGTTTTATTTTTTAAAAAAGAAGCAAAAATATTTTTTCCCCCAAAATAGGAGAGAGCCAAGACTGACGAAGGGTATTCTACAGCGAACCAGAGACCAAAGAATTACTAGTCCCTCCCACCTGCCCTGCCCCGGGGGCACTGGTTTGTACTGGACTGTGTGTCCTGTTTCCTGCCGAGTTGGTGGATCCTTTGTTTTCTCAACTTTTCCAGAAAGGACTGTGAGCAAGATGAATTTCTTTTTCTTAAAAAATGAGGAAGTTTCTGGCTGGGGGTGACATGAGGCAGGACCACAGGTGGGGTGGGCAGCAGACGTGTGCCTCCTGGGGGGTGGCTCCTCTTCCCTGTCTGAACAGCTTTTGGAAGGAAGAGGAAAATCCTTCAAAGGTGACAGCATTTCAATCTGGGTTTCCTCAGAGGTTGGGCTGCCTCCCAACAAGTGCTACATGACTTCTTTTCAAAGCCCAGACGAGTCTGCTTTTAAAGACTGTCCTCAAATCGCTGAGCCCAGGCTGATGGTTTCTGAGACGGGGCGGTTCAACACTACCTTGACCATCCTTCTGTGTCCTGGAGGAAGTGCTAGAGGTCTCAGTGTCTGGGGAACTATCCTTACCTGAACAAAGCCCCCGAGGTCCTTCCCTCCCGTGTGGAAGGACAGGCCAGAACCGTTGAATCTTATCTGGTTCATTCAGATAAGATTGAATGAGGGGGTTTCATTCACCCCTTTCTGTGGGTGGCCCTGAGAAACTCTGGAGGCGCTCTCGTCTCTGGGCTTCACCAGGGGTTTCCCCGTTTTTGCTTTGTGCGGAAGGCAGGGTGAAGAAGGTCAAGGCGAGTCCTTGTGGGAGTGAGATTCGGGAAGTCCAAGAGGAAGGCAGGGTGGGCTAGCCATTCCTGCCGTTTTGGCCCTTGGTGTCTCTAGAGGCCGCAGGGCTTTGGGGGAGAGGGTTGCACTGAGGTCAGTCTGCCAGGCTGTTCTTGTCGAGGGCAGAGATTGAGGCAGTTGAGTGCCAACTAAGGATGAATGGAGACGGAGTGGGCCAAGCCCTGACGTTGTCTGAGTCTCTCCTTCCTCCCAGCCGACTTGGCTGCAACGCTTGTGGCCTGCTGAACATGACCACCCGGGGCCCGGCTGTCTCAGACATGAGTCCTGGACTGATGTCCCAGGTGTCACAGGCTTAGGGAGTCCCACCAATCCACCTCTCCTGAGCCTGAGCAGCAGTGTCCACCTTTGATTATCATTGAGACTGTCCTCTTCGTCCCAGGTGAAAACACCTGGCTGCTGACGCTCTGTTGGTGGCTTCACGTGGGAAATAAATGTCTGTTTTTCAATCCGAGACACATGGAGCATTACCAAACCTGCAAACCTAAGAATAGGGGTGTGATGTGGTGAAGGGTGTAGTGGCCTGGGCTGATGACAGAAGGGACAGCCCCTCTTATGCAAGAGTGTCTTTGGTGGGGGTGGGGATATATTTTTATATTTTAGGAGAAAGATGTATATGGGATTCTGTTTCTTGGTGAAGCTTGAAACCAGGTCAGCCAGAGGTGGTCCAGGCTCTTGTGTCTCTTTGACTGCAAGGAGAGTTAAAAGCTGATGGCCTTCTTGCCTCATTTCCCACGTTGTCCCTCTTCAGATCTTACTGGGGAAGGGAGCACGGGGGCATGTGGACACGTGGGGACTGTGCAGGAGGTCCCCCCTCTTAAACCCCGGCTCGCGCTGAGTCTCACCGTCAGCAGCGCTGTTTTAATCCCTGCCTCCATTTGGACCTTGGAGATAAAAACTGGATACAAAGATGTTGTCCATGTGTGGCCGGCTTCTCATGCCGTGGGTACCCAAGACAGAAAAGGAGGAGAGAGAGAAGGAATTGATGGGACACTTTAAAAGCTGAGGTGGCTTTCTTGTTCTTGTCCTTTATCTCCTTTCCATGCGGCCTTCCCTGTTGCATCGGCTCCTTCCCCCTTGGCGGTGGCGCGGGCCTCCTCGCCCTCCGTCCACCTGCTTCTCCGTCTCGTTGCTCTTATGTTGGTTCCTGTCGGGCGGCTTGTCCTTGGGGTTGCTCCGCTTGTTCCTCCTGGGAGGGTGGGGGTGGCCGGTGAGTCGACCTGGCGATCTCTCCCTGCTTCCCAGACCCCTGGGCCGCAGAATCTGGCTGGAGGAAGATGCCGCAGGTGTGCATTTGAAAGTAACAGGACTCATCTGCAAAGCAGTTACCTAAGGAAAGGTGTCCAGTGACGTTTCCCCGTATTCGGGTTCTCTTTGAGGTGCCTTCAGAGCCGGGGCTGTGTTTGGAGCAGCCTCCGTGAGGCTGGGTCTCCGCCATGTGTGTTCAGTGCAGAGTCCAGACCATGTCTGCGGTCAGGGCACGACTCGGGTGGAGAGTCAAAGGACTCTCAAGTAACACAGCTCAGAGTTAACGAGGTGACTTTTAACCCCTCTCTGAAGGCCATCGTGTAACCTCAAACAGAGTTGTGAGCAGTCAGTGACTTTTTGAAGGACAATATCGGATGTGGGAACTCTGTTGGAAGAAATCTGTCCTGTTCCTTTCTGGTCATTCCAGGTTCTGACTTCACCAGGGGTAAAAAGAAAAAAAAAAAAGGGAGATAAATCCCATTTGTGAATTGTTTTATTGGCACCCCCCGCCCCCTGCCCAGCTGTCTTCCAAGTATTATTTTTACTGTTAAAATTTTTTTAAAAAAATGTGAAATGTAATGTTTTTACAGCAACAATATGAAATATATTTTATAAGGAATAAAATGGTACATTGTCTGACTTGGTGTGTTTTTTCTTCCTCCTGCTCCTATAAAGAGTAAGCGTCTCAGTGTCCTTGGTGTGAGACAAGTGCTAGCATGTCACCCTCTGGAACCAGGAAGTAACATTTGCCAGGAACTGGGCCAGCTGCTTGTGCGAGGGCGTTGCTGTTGCTGCTACTTTACAAACGAGGAGAGGGAGGCACCAAGCCTAAATACCTTGCCCAGATCACAGATGGGGAGATAATGGCACCAGGGCTGTGATCCAGGCAGTAACTATTTTGAACTGCTCATGTTGACAAAGGGAATATATTCTGGACTATATTCCCAAGTGTGTTGAGGAAGGGGCTTGGGATAAAGGAGAAAATAAGTCATACCCTAAGTATTAGTCAGCTTTTCCTTACTATAATGAAATATCTGAGGCAGGCTAACTTTATAAAGGAAGAAAGGTTTATTTAGCTCACAGTTTGAGGGACTGGAAATCCAAACTTCCTGGTCAAGCTCTTGCAGGGCACCCCTTGGCTGTTTGCCTGATGGCAGATGGCAATGGTGGCAGCTCCTGTAGGAGGGAGAGATGGGTCACATTGGGAAAACAGGAAGCCAGAGAGGCTGGAGTCCCTGAGTCCCTTCCTAGGACACACTTAGGGCCCTCTGCTGGGTACCACCTCCCAATTGCCACATTGAGGACTGCACATCCAACATAGGCACCTTTGAGGGACATATTCAGACATGTCCAAAGAATAGCACTCTACTCTGAGCATGGTCTGCCTGCTAAAGTCAGATTCTGGGTGCTGTGGAGGCCCACAGGCTGGTAAAGCTGACCTGGGCAGGGGTTTGAAGCAGAAAAATATCCCACCCAGGGACTGGTTTATGCATTTGAGGCTTGGTGATGGGGGTCTTTGTGGTGGCATTAGGGGGCCCTCTAGCTTTCCAGCTCCTGGTGGGGTCCTCAGGAGACACCAGAACAAAGTTGGGAAGTGGGAAGGGGAGAGAAGTGGGGGTACCGAACCGCAGGGCTCCCCGTGTGTGAATAACTGTCCTCTACTGCAAGCTCCAGAGAGATGCACTTAGGAGTTCTAGAACTCCCTTACCCCTGCCAGGGCTCCCTAGCTCCCGACAGGCCTTACCATCTGCTGACTTCCTGTACCTCTTGCTGGGGTCTGAGTGTCCCCTCCAAAGCGCGTGTTGAAGTTAATAGCGAATATAAGGATCTTATTAGGAGGTGGGGCCTCTTAGAGGCAATTAGGTCCTGGCTGCAGCCTCATGAGTGGATTGTGGCTCATGAGAGGGTTAGTTTCTGTGGTTGTGGGCTCCTGATGAACAGGGAAGTTCCCCCTGCCTCTGTCTTGCGTTTCCTTCTGCCATGTTAGGATGCAGCCTGTGTGGCCCCTTGTCTTGGACTTCCCAGCCTCCAGAACTGTAAGCCAAATAAACCCCATAATGTTCTCAGTTTGTGGTAGTTTGCCCTCCATATCTGTGGGTTCCGCATCTGAAGATTCAACCAACTGCAGGCTGAAAACACTTTTAAAAAATTGCATCTGTACTGCCGGCGTGGTGGCACACACCCGTAATCATAGTGGCTCTGGAGGATGAGGCAGGAGGATCACGATTTCAAAGCCAGCCTCAGCAAAAGTGAGGCGCTAAGAAACTCATTGAGGCCCTGTCTCTAAATAAAAAAAGAAATACAAGATAGGGCTGGGGATGTGGCTCAGTGGTCGAGTTCCCCTGAGTTCAATCCCTGGTATCCGCCCCCCCACAGCCCTACAAATTGCTTCTGTACTGAACATGTACAGACTTCTTATTATTCCCCAAACAATACAACTCTGCAACTATTTCTACAGCCTTTACGTTGTATTAGGTATTATCAGTGGAGACAATTTAAAGCATATTGGAGGTTTGTGTAGGTCTTTATGCAGATACATCACTTTTTTGTAGGGAACTTGAGCATCCTTGGGTTTTGGTATCCACAGAGGGTCCTGAAACCAGTCCCCTGTGGGTACTGAGGGACAACTAATTGTATCTTCTTATAGGGGCAAAACCCAGACTAGGACCTGCTTTCTGCCTTTGTAGACGTTCAGTTACTGGGTGTTCCCCATGTTTCCTGGCCGGGTTCTGACAGTTACACACTTCACCATGTTTAGTGTTAAGTGGGAGACAAAAGTAGCTTTGGCAGGATTTGCATCACCTGGAACTTGCTAAAAATGCAAGTTTCCATCTACTCAGAAACCAGGGTGCACCCCAGCAGCCTGGACCCCTCCTGGTGCAGATGCACACGGGTCTGAGAACCCCTGGCCCTTTGTCCCTCCTGCCTGTGCCTTCACACGGCTGTGTGCCTCAGTTCCCACCGTTGGCACAGTGCCCTGGGGCTGCTTTTGCTAGTGCCTCTTGCCCTACTTTATAGGATGCAGGACTGTGAGCTTCTGCCTCTGTCTCCTGGGAGAGGCGGCTCCTATAGCGTGTTTGTGGAGTCTGTGCTTCTTAGTCACGTCACTTAAAAACAGCAAACCAGTTTATTAACCATTTGCTCAGTAGAAGTTTAATGGAGAAACAGTTGTTTCCAACAATCAGTCAAAAAGAACAGCTCTTTTACAAACAAGTTATGGCAGTGATGAGTCAAAGCCCCAGAATTGATTCCATATTCCTCTCACCCGGCCCTAGAAGGCCAAGAGGTGGGTGAGGAGGAAAGATGGGGCCATTAGAATGTAGCTGGAGGAATTACAAAAATACACTCTGATGGAGCATCAGGGAGGGCCGGGCGGTGGTGAAACATGCCGTGGGGAGGGGAGACGGCCGGACGGGAGGAGCTGGAGGCAAAGCCCGTGGGTCTGCGTGCTCAGCGCCTGGGCGATGAAGGAATCCTGATTCCCAGCCGGCAGGTCTGGGGCTGGACACATGCTCTTTTGGGGATCACCTGGACGCCTGGGGAGACAGAAATAATGAAAATGGCAAACCTGATGGTTTTCTTGTCCCTTTGATCCTATTTGCCCAAATGACTAGAGCCATCAAAAGGAAGCCAGGGAGAGCAATCACCCAATTCCTACGGTCCCAAGGGTTCCTAATGCCTTCCACACGTCGCTCCCGTCCTCCCACCTGAGTCCACTGGTAGGACTCATAAAGGGAGGTCAGTGGGCTTTGACTTGGAAGGCATAGTGACAAGCCCCCTACCCTGAAACTCCTCCTTCCTGGTATTCGGAATGCATGCTCAACTGTGTCCTCATCTGGGGTTCTCTTACAGGACAAGTGCTCTTTAAGCCTGATGTCACTCCTACCTGGCCATGAATGAATCTGCTAATTTCCCACTGTCTAAAGGGTCAAGTCCTGAGGCGGTGGAAAAGAGTCAAGGGTATTGGGTCAGGGGAAGAGAAGGGAGTCCCCGAGGCCAGTTGTGCCCTTTGCACCTTGCTGTCTAGGGCAGGGCCTGCTTCCCAATGCCCGCCTTCTAGGACCCCATTGCACTTTTCGAATAGACTCCTAATCCCATTCCAGGGTTCAGGAGCCCCATTCCCTCCCACTGGATGTCTTAGAAGTCAAGAACAATTTTGGCACTGGAAGTCGGCCAAGATGGTGGACTCTATCACACACAGGCCAGGTTGGGGTGCCTGTGGATAAAAACAAGACTCTAGCTGCCTGTTTTGACCTGTAAAACGTGTCCATACTGCACTCAGCAGCTGTGCACCTGCAGAAATAAGAAACAGGGCTGTACAAGGAGAAAAGACAGCCATCAATAACGCCCAAATGAGCTGGTAATGTTGCCAGAGTCTCCATCAAGGACTTTGCAGAGCAGTGAACAGAAGTTAGTTACCAGCCTTATTTCAGCTCCTCAGTTGGAAGGACAATAGAAAAGCTGATCGCCTGGGTAGCTCCTTTTCTTTTTTCTTTCTTTCTAAACCAAATAAATTGATTCCTGCTAACGGGACTGATTTAAACTGTCTAGGTAAGGAGAAATGTTATGATGGTTCAGAATTAGATATGGGCTTTGGTGTCCCTGAAGAGCCACTTTAAAGAATGTCTTTAAGATTTCCAAGAATCCAATCCATGCTACTTCTGAAAGATTGTCATTAGATTCTGTGCAAATACAGTTTAGAAAGAAACATAATTCTTGTGAACGGTTCAGGAGTATGACTTTGAACACAGTGCAGGTCTACTCTGCACCTTGGGAGATTAGTACTTCTGGTAAACTAAGCATGCCAGCCTTCTTCTCACAACTTGTAATACATGTGTCCATATGTGGGGATGGGCTGGTCGCAAACAAGCTGGCTACCAGCAAAGATCCATGTAGTTTGCTGCTACGCCATAGATTAACATATGGATTAACATACATTGAAGGAAGAAGATTATTGATACGGCTAGTTCTTTGCTTTAGGCCAAGTTTCTAGGCTGTTTAAGAAGGCATGTGGGACTCTGTACATGATCATATTCCCGTATACAAATTCAGGCACATGGTCAAGATTTTTCTTAAAATTTCTGAAAATTCTACTGTGCTAGTTCCCAGAGCCACTCAAAGTTATGTATTTGTTAATGGGCCCAAAGGGTTGAGTTTGGAATGACTGGGCAATTAGGCCTTTGTTGTATGTTATCCAATATGTATTATATTTACTTAGATGAGCATGCCCAGGGTGAAGAAGAGAGAACAAGGGAGAAAGGAGAGAAACAAAAATAAACAAAACAAAACAAAAAAATGATACCCTACAAAGAAGCAAATTGGAGGAAGGAAGAGGCATCCGTGAGTTCAGATTTTACAGACTAAGAGCTCAGCTTGGGCCAAATTCTAGAGGTCCTGCTTGGTGATGATGCCAGTGACCACATTTCCCAAGCAAGGTGATAGGGTGGACAAATGGCTTACGGAAGAAAGAAAAGCAGAAAGCATTAACTCCTGGTTCTAACAAGAAATCCTTGGAAGGGGAAATGGGAAAGTTTGATGGTTTTCACGGAGTCAACACAGATATCTTGAGACAGTGTCAAGGAAAGGGAGAGACGTAAGCCATCTCTGAAGGTGAAACAGCGACATCACATCCATAGAAATCGGCCTCTGAATGGCTAAGAGTAGGTTCAGCTATTGGTTTCTAGAGATAGTCTCTGAGGAAAGGTGAGCTGAATGGTTGCTATGGCAACTGGCTAAGAGAATTGGTCCACTTATCTGTCCCCATAGTAACTAAGCTCCTGGAGAGCTATAGAGGAATTAGTTATCTTAACATACTACTATTATCCCCATGGTAACCAATCTCCAAATGGGAGTGGTCAGCCTCAAGCAGCAATCTTAGGAAAATCTTTGCTCCCCAGGAAAAGGGTGGGCAGGAGGCAGGGAGGTGAATTTCCCTCTCAAGTCTCAAGTCTCCCAGGAGCTGGAGTCTTGGAGTGTGTGTGTGTGTGTGTGTGTGTGTGTGTGTGTGCTGATGTGCTTCTGGGCCTGGGGGAAGGCTAAGACTTTTGGGTGTGTGGGGTCTCTTCTTGCCCCCAGCTCATCGGTGCCCAACTCACTCATGGGTTGCAGTGGCAGGTGCAGCTGGGAGGGGCTCCCCTTCCGGCTACACATTACCATTCTGGTGCAGGGTGCGCCGACGCTGGCTGGACTGCATGCTCAGGACCAGGTACTGCCTCATGAACTCACTGAACCGCTTCTGGTTGGCCAGCTTCCGGGCCGACTTCCGGGCCCCGGTGAAGCCCCCAAACCTCTTCTGCAGCTGCTTCTGTTCTGCCTCGCCAGCCTCGTCCACGCCAGGCTCTGTCTCTTTCTGTGCTTGGGACAGGCTCCGGACACGGGGCATCCGCTTCAGGTGCTGCATCTCCGAGGCTCTTGGGTGGTAAAGAGCAGCGGTCACGTGCTCTGGGTCAGCAGGGCTGAGCTGCCAGGGGCCCCTGGCCATGATCTTGGTGCATGGAGTCCAGAGAGGGCTGGGGAAGATCTTCTCTTCACACTCGAAAATGCACACCTGCAAAAACGGGGGAGGAGAGGACAAAGGGAAAAGAAACAGGAACCTCTGAGAGTTCAAGGTGAGGGAGGAGCTGAGTCCCTGGGACATCTGTGTCGGCACCGATGCAAACGCTTCTGAAGCATCATTTCTCAAGAACTATGCAGTAGTTTATGTAAAGTGTTTTTTTTTTTTTTAAGGTTCATAGAATTTCAGAATTGCAAAGAAACACAGCACCATTTGGCCCAGTTCCATCATTTTACCAACAAAAGAAATCAGGGATCAGAGGTGAGGCTGACTCACTCCAGGTTAATAGTAAGTTAACACAGAATAAAGGCACCCCAAACTACGCCCTCCTATATCCTTAGGTTTTCAGAGCCAAGCACAGCTGGTGAGCATCAGATAAAAGAAGAACTTTAAAAAAAAAGTGTATTTTTTTTGTTGTTGTAGATGGACACAGTACCTTTATTTTATTTTATTTTTATGTGGCTCAGACCCAGTGCCTCACGTGTGCTAGGCAAGCGCTCTACCACTGAGTCACAACCTTAGCCCCAGAAAAAAGAACTTTATTTCCTTCTCTCATCAGGCTTGGGGAAGATCAGATTGGTTAAGGAAATTGGGGATGTGAAAGTAAATAGTTAAATCTGCTCATGTGTTTTAAGGTCACCGGGTAGAGATCGGCCCTGGTGCTGTTGATTTTCCATGCTCTACAGTAGCCATCTCTAGCTGTACATCATCTGTGGCAGGTGAGTGTCAAAGGCCTTTGGTATGGGGCAGGTGGGCATGAGTGGAAGGTGGGGAAGGGATGCCATCATCGGATAGGAGCCAGGCAGACCCTCCAGCAACCCTCTGCTGCTGTTCTGCCTCCCCAAGCATCATGGCCTCTGGTGGAGGCCACCAGCCTGACTATGATACCTGTCGAGGCTTCCTGTCTGGTCCTGACCTTGGCCCACCCTCTTCCCTTCCTGTCTCTGGTTGGGTCTCCTAGAAGTCTCTGGCTCCAACTCTTCTTCCTACTTGGTGTTTTGGCTTCACCCCTAATTCTCCTCCTTATGTTTCTGGCCTTAGAGAAAACCCCACTTCAGCTCATATTTGACACGGTGAGCAAGCAGGCAGCTGAGCAGCCCTCAGCTGACTATTATGGAGCTTGGGCCTGGCTCCCTGGACACCTTCAGGGGCAGAGGTTGCTAACTCCCCACCCGGATCCATCTCCCTTCTCCATTACTAACAGAACACTGTTTTCTTCCTGAAGGCAACAGATGAGTTTTGAACCTTCCCTACAGAATGAGGAGACCAGCAGCAAGAATGGAAATGACCAGATGCAGCCTCCAGTAAAGCAGGGCTGACTGAGCTGGGAAGAACTTCCCCTTCTCCGCGGTCCTCCCCTTCCTCCAGCTTCAGGTTTGCAATGTGGACATCTTGGCTGGTTCTCAGCTGTCCATCTTGAAACCATGGGGCGATGCAGAGGGTGGAGTCATAGGCATGGGAAGCCATAGGCAGGCAGAGCAGAAAGACGCAGGAGCCTGGAGCTGTCCTGTGAGCCCTGGAAGCCCTTCCATATGAGGAACCAACTCTCTGTCTTATTTAGGCCACTGCTACTTTAGGTCTTTGGTACTAGCAGGTGAATTCAATCTCTAACTGATATTTTCCCCGCCTGAGTCTGCCCTTCTGCGTGGTTTCTCTGTCTCTCCCTGGATGGTACCTTATTCCCCAGTTGACAGACATTTAAGCCCCGGGTATATCTTCACCTCTCTCGTCCCACCTCCATCTGCTTAGTAACTCAGGTCGGCTTCTCCTCTCCATTCCCTCTGAGGGCACAGTGGCTCCTTAGCTGAGCTCTCCATCTCTATCTTTACCACCGGAGTCCATTTTAGGTCCCTGGAGAATACTCTTCCTGAGAAATAACTCTAATCACAACTCGTTCACAACTGTCTGATATTTTGTAAATGAAATAGCTCCAGACTCCTGATCAGGGCATTGGAGTCCCTCTACCTAGCACCTGGCCCAGCACACACCTTGTTTCTAATTCCTCCCATGCTCATGCCCCCAGGTACATAGGGCTGCTCCTACTGCCTTTAGCCACTGTTTACTCTCTGATGAAATGACTTCCTTCCATCCTTCCCTTGGGACCCAGCCACAATCCAGTGCTGCCTCTCTAGATGCCTTCTTCTAGGTACCTGGAAGAATTGCTCATTCCTTCCTCCGTGTTCCCACCAAAACCTCTTAATTCTTAATTTTAATGCTTAATATAAATAATTGCAATATCTCCTAAGGCTGAGTATAACAAGCGAGGGGCTACATCTCACTTATATTGAAGTGCCTTGTAGGAGTCTTCACCTTCTATTAAATAGTAGACATTCTAGCACCTGGAGACATTTTGGTCGTTATTATATGTGTGTGTGTGTGTGTGTGTGTGTGTGTGTGTGTGTGTGTGTCTGCTAGCGCCACCTAGAGGCCAAGCATGAGTAAAACTCCTTCAATGCAGAGAATGGTTTCTGTTACCGTTTGGATGTGAGATGTCCCCAAAAGCTTCCATGTAAGACAATGCAAGAAGGTTTAAAGGAAATATGATTGGGTTGTGGGAGTCTTAACCCAATCTGTGAGTTAATCCTCTGATAGGGATTCACTGAATGGTAACTGAAGGCAGGCAGGGTGTGGCTAGAGGAGGTGGCCTTGGGGGTGTGGCTTTGGAGTCTATATTTTATATCTGGAGAGTGGAGTCTCTTCTCTCTCTGCTTTCTGATCATCATGTGAGCTGTTTCCCTTCTCCACACTTCCTCCATGATGTTCAGCCTCACCTCAAGCCCTGAGGAATGGAGCTGGCTATCTATGGACTGAGACCTCTGAAACTGTGAGCCCCCAAATAAACTTTTCCTCCTCTACAGTTGTTCTGGTCAGGTCTTTTAGTCACAACAGTGAAGAAACTCACTAAAACAGTTCCCCACAAGTGGACCTCAATGGTGAATTTGAAAATCCCTGCTCTACTATATCCATGGGAAATCAGGGACGCGTGGATAGCATCACAAAAGTGTGATGGGCGCGCTTGGCCTGTTCCTCTCAGAGTAGGACCCCAAATGCTTATTGAATTGTGCTGCTCCTTCCGTGAACAGACACAGGTGGGAGAGATAAGTCTAGATACGACTAGATCTGCTGTGAGCTCCTGGATTTGTAAGCCCAGATGGTAATTAGATTTGGTGTCAATCAGAGAAAATGAAATTTTATGATCAAACCAGATGCCACAGTCCATATGCAGACTGGACGCACTGTTAGGTAAATTAGATGCTAACCAAATCATCCCAATTCTTGATTTAGGAGAAGGTTTGGGGCCAAATAGGAGGGATCCAAATTCACAACAGCATTTGTAGCACCAGATGGGCATATGAGCTGAATGCCTAACCCTGTGGTCTGGGGGCCTCACCAGCCGCTTTCCAGAGATGGGTTAATGGCCTATTAAGTGAGCTGGATGCATTTTAGAAGCCCATGCTGATGACATTGCTATATTAAGCCAAAGTTTGCATGAGCATCTGGAGTCCCAGATTGGTGCCAAATTGATCTGCAAAGCGAGCTTGTGAGGAGACAGAGCAAAGGGCCATTTGGATGTCTGGATCAGAGATTAGGGTACAGATTGGGAGTGTAGTTCAGTGGTAGAGCACTTGCCAACATGTGTGAGGCCTTTGGTTCCATCTCTAGCACATAAATAAATAAATAAATAAAAGATTAGGGTAAAAGTGAGGAACAGACACAGGGGCTCTCTGGAAGGAAAAGAAGAAGGTCACAGAGACAGTCTAGCTCCTGCCATGAGCTAGACTTCAACCACTTCTGTCTAAGAGATGCTTTGGTAGCTACTTGCTCTAGGAGGCTTTGCTAGAATATTCCAGGGATAACACTGGTAGGGCAGCAGAGGCACAGCCAACAAGAAGACCACACAAAGAACAAATCACCTCCTAAGGATGTTCATCTCATGAAGAGAGGTCCACCAGAAAGTGGTTTGTTTTGCAATAGGGTTTTAAGAAGTTTTAAATATATTTCCCCAGACTGTGTCTCGGGGGGAGGGGTTAGTTGCATTATTCTTCATTTCTAAAACAACTCAATGAATCTACCTTTTTTTTTTTCCTTCATGAATTGACCTGATTAGGTAAAAGGCCAAGACATTGCAATGGGTTTGGGTGTGTGAGTCATTTACCAACCAAAATTATAGTCTAACAAAAAAGCCAGCCATTCTTGGACCAACTACCAGGAATAGAAATAGAAAAATTTCTGATGAAGCCAAAAGTCCAAAGGATCCTGGGAAGAGCTCAGAATTATGTAATCTGATGGAGAGACCGAGAGGTGACCCTTGCTGAAATGAGTTCCTCCATCATTCAGAGTGGACACACTCAAAGGTTGCCAGATTTGGGAATGAGATGTGCTGTCCTGTGTTCTTGGCATTTCATTAAACTTAAGAATAGATTAAAAGTGGACACAAACTAGAAATGAAAACAAGTGGGCAGGCAGGTTGGTGGGGCGGGGGTGGGGGGCACAGACACACTGAAGCATCTGTCCTTGCTTGTGAGACTTCTGTTGTTTCATTTCCTGACTCGTTTCAAAGAAGTAAAGCTATGAGTGATTCTAGACCCCGAAGATCTGAGATGCAATGAAGAGATGGAAACAGGCTCCATATTCTTCATGGTCTCTGATGTCAGAACTCCACACTGGATGTGCCCACCAGGACTAAGTGTCCTAGAATCTGTTTCCAGGGGACATGTTTACACAGCAGCCTCTGTGCCACCCACCAGGCCATGTGCTGGACACTCAGATCTGTTGCACAGAGAGCTCACACCTGAGGGTCAGAGCTAGACCTGCAGGTGCCTGTAAAAACCGGAACCCACTGGGTTGGGGTTTGCAGCCAAGCACAGCTGGTGAGCATCACCCAGAAAGAAGAACTTTATTTCCTTCTCTCATCAGGCTTGGGGAAGATCAGATTGGGTAAGGAAATTGGGGATGTGAAAGTAAGTAGTTAAATCAGCTTGTGTGTTTTAAGGTCACCGGGTAGAGATCAGCCCTGGTGCTGTTGATTTTTCATGCTCTACAGTAGCCATCTCTAGCTGTACATCATCTGTGGCAGGTGAGTGTCAAGGGCCTTTGGTATGGGGCAGGTGGGCATGAGTGGAAGGTGGGGAAGGGATGCCATCATCGGATAGGAGCCAGGCAGACCCTCCAGCAACCCTCTGCTGCTGTTCTGCCTCCCCAAGCATCAGGGCCTCTGGTGGAGGCCACCAGCCTGACCATGACACCTGGCTAGGCTTCCTGCCTGGTCCTGACCTTCCTGTCTCTGGTTGGGTCTCCTAGAAGTCTCTGGCTCCATCTTTTCTTCCTACTTGTTTTTTTGGCTTTACCCCTAAATCCCCTCCTCATGTTTCTGGCCTGAGTCAGAGGAAAACCCACCTCAAGGCAACCTCGCCAGGCTGAGTCAGCACAGTGTTCTCCTCGGAGGTGAGACAATCTGGGCTTTGAGGTGTGAGCAGGCTTTATCAAAAGGGGAGGGAGGAGATGGCAGGCCGGAAGGGAAAGCAGGATGTCCCGGGAGCTGTGGAAAGTGACCAGTAATGGTAATGTGGGGCTGAGCCTGGAGAGAGGCGGTCAGGTGGACCTTTGGGAGTTACCTGCAGCCTGGGGGGACCAGGAGGTGGGGACGTGAGGTGGGACCCTAGAGGGAGGGAGGAGCCAGGAAGCGGGCCATCCGGGCAATTCCTTGTGATTATCAAGTGGGGAGAGGAAGAGGAGCCAGGCTAGGAGGTGGAATAAGGAGAGTCAGAGCAGGGAGGAGGCTCGTGAAGGAGGCACAAGACTCTAGAGAGGACGGCCTTCTTGAGAGAGAGACAATGGGCGGAGCTGGACCATGGGCAGGAAAACCTGATGGATGAGAAGGAGGAGGAATGGGGGTGAGTCCCCTGGGCTGCTCTGTGGCTCTTACTGGTCAGAAACAGCCTTGGCCTGGGGCCGAGGAGCTGGAGCCGAGAGCAGGCCCATGATAGTCCAGCATGGCCGGCTCCACGCTTGCACATTTGCCCTAGGAACAGTAGCTGCTTTTGATTGTTTTGAAAGGCTGAGGGGTTTGAGACGTGGCAGCTTGAAAGACGCTTAATTGACTTCAAAGGAATCGGTAATTGAATTACACTGGTGTTAACAGGAGAGGAATAACTCTCTAGACAGAAGCCAGAGGAGGTGAGAAATTAGTTTAATGGATAACAACTTAACCTTGGATTTGCACCACAAGTTGGAAATTTAAAATATAACAGAACATTTCAGATCATTGAATGGCCATTGTAGAATGGTCTGCAGGGTCAACAATGGAGGGCATGTTCACTAGGCAGGGAAGGGTTAAACAAGCTATGCTACATTCACAGAAAGAAATAACTTCAAATACTGCTTCATGACATGGGAACGCTATTCTGGTGGACTATAGTAAATGGGGGAAAGATGCAATTCTTTCTCTGCTGGGATTAATGGTGATTTAGATTTTATTTTTTAATACTTTTCCAAATTTGCCAAATTCTCTGAAGTAAGAAGGCATCATTACACTCATACATTGCTGGTGGGACTGCAGATTGGTGCAACCACTCTGGAAAGCAGTATGGAGATTCCTCAGAAAACTTGGAATGGAACCATCATTTGACTCAGTTATCCCACCCCTCACTATATGCAAAGGACTTAAAATCAGCAGACTACAGTGACATGGCCACATCAATGTTTATAGCAGCTCAATTCACAATAGCTAAGCTATGAAACCAACCTAGGTACCCTTCAACAGATGAATGGGTAAAGAAAATGTGGTACATACACACAATGGAATTTTACTAAGTCATAAAGAAGAATGAAATGATGACATTTGTCAGTAAATGGATGGAACTGGAGACTATCATGCTAAGGGAAATAAACCAGTCCCCAAAAGACCAAAGGCCAAATGTTCTTTCTGATATGTGGGTAAGTCACAATGAGCAGTACTCGGGGGTGAGGGAGAATAGAAATTCACTGGATTAGACAGAGGGGAATGAAGGGAAGGGTGGGGGGATGGGAATGGGAAAGACGGTAGAATGAACTGGACATAAATTTCCTACGTTCATGAATGCACAACCAGTGTAACTCCACATCATGTACAACCACAAAAATGGGAACTTATACTCCATATTTGTATGATATGTTGGAATGCAGTCTACTGCTATGTAGAACTAAAAAGAACAACTAAAACAACTTAAAAAAGAATGCGTTACTTTAATATTGGGAACAGTAGGGCAGTATGAGCAGGGGTGTGAGTGTGTGTGTTGCTGGGGATGGAACCCAGGGCCTTGCACAGGATCAGCAAGTGCTCTACCACTGAGCCACACCCACAACCTGTTTTACTTTTTGAGACAGGGTCTTGCTAAGTCGCCCAGCTGGCCTCCAGCTTGCAATCCTCCTGCCTCGGCCTCCGGAGCAGCTGTGATTACAGGTGTGTGCTGTGGCACACAGCAATCAGCAGGTCTTTATTTGAAGGTGCTAAGGTGGAAAGGTCATGGGGTTCCTGGCTGGAAAGTGTCCACATCTCTTTCCTCCTGGTGACATGACACTGGGCAAGTTCTGTCCTCTGGGAGAGGCTTGAGTTTCTCACCCAGGGTCTGCTTTCCAGTGGACAGAGGAGATGGAGGGGGAGAAGGTGGCTTCTCCACCTCCTGGACCTACCTCCAGGTTGAAGCCGTCCAGAGCTGGGCGGAGCTTCTCCCGGCAGGTGAGACAGTCCCTCGGACAACTGCTGAACACGCTGGAGAGGAGGCTGAGCAGCAGGAGATCACAAAGCATGATTTTCATGGTGCAGCAGATGCAGGAAGCAAGATGCTAAAACACATGAGGGGGTGGCAATTAGAACAGCCATTGGGGAGGCCAGCTGGGCGGGGCTGGGGATGCAGGAAACCCGTCACCCCCAGTGGGAATAGGTCTGAGATTCATCTTCTAGGAGGGAGCAGATGTCAGGGGGTGCCCGTGCCTGGTCCTGTCATCCAGGACTAATGGCCCTGCACAGGCTGGGGTCTGGGTTCCTGAGGAGAGTGCCCCAAGATTCCTGCCACTCCATTCAGGGAGCCGCTGTGGGGTGGTGGGGACGGTTTTCCAGGGAGCTAAAGGCATTTCTTTGCAGCTGTCCAGCATGTGACTTTAATCAAGCCTCAGTGTCCACTGCTGTGGGAGGGGAACAGTGCCACCTGTCTTGTCACAGGGCTGTTATGACGATGAAGTGAGATCTGTAGGGAGGTTTTAAAAAGTCCTCTGCAAGGGTGAGGAAAATCTGAGATTTATTAACGACTCAAGTATTTCCCGTCATCCTCCCCAGCTCTTCCTGGGATGGCCCAAATGCTCATGCCCCTGAAATCTCTTCTAGGGAGCTTCCTGGGTTTCCTTGTCTGTTGCTCCTCCAAAGGTGAGCTCATGTTATGGTCTCTCCAAAATTCATATGTTGAAAACCCAACCCCCAAGGATTACCTTGGGGGTAATGGTAGAGAAGGTGGGGTCTCGGGATGTGGGTGGGTCATGTGTGTGGGGGGCTCTAGTGAATGGGATTAGTGCACTTATGAAAGAGAACCAGGAGAGCTCAGTAGCCCCATACACCATGAGAGGACAGGCAAGAGGGTGCCATCTGTGACCTAGGGAACAGGTCCTCACTAGATAATGAACCTGCTTCTAGAACTACGAGGAATGCATTTCTGTTGTTGATAAGGCATTTTGTCACAGCAGCCAGAAAAGACCAAGAGAGTGGGCCTCCTGACCACGGGGCCATGATGGTCACCTTGTCGTTCCACACCAGGCACAGGGCCTGGTATATGGCATTAGTTTTGGAAAATAAACAAAGAAACTATTGTAAGACAGTAGCTCCAATGATTAGTTAGATGGGGATTTACACTCTTCCTGCAGAATGGCCTGCGGATGTGTGGAGTTTCTCCTGTTTCTGTTTACATGTTTTTCCTTGGCTCAAACTTCTTGAATCAGAAAGCTACTTCCTTGGACTACACTATTTTGGGTCCCCATTGAACCACCTTTATTTGGAAGATTAAATGGAAAGGGGAATGAGGGAGCTTTCTGGAAATATGAACATTCTCGAGGTGTATACATTTGCCAAACCCATCTCATTGAATATTTAGATTCTGTGCATCTCACTGTAAGTAACTTTTCCTTTAATAAAGAATTCATTGTGGAAAAACAAAAATAATTGCTTTTGTTGCTTTTTCATCAGTCTATCTGAAGAAAATGTATATGGTCCTCCTACTCAAATGCATCTGCAGACCAGCAGGGATCTTGTTAGAAATGCAGACTCTCTGTCCCCACCTCTTGGCCAGAGAACCAGGATCTGTGTTTTCAGTAAGATTCCCAGGTGGTGCATATGCACGACAAAGTCTGAGAGGGGTGGGTATGAGAAGGATGTGAACTGGAGCCCTCAACAGGAGAGAGGAGGGACCTGCAGATGACCCAGTGGCCATGCTGGGAGATCACCTGGCTCTTGCGCATCAAGGAAGCATTTCAGACCAAGAGGATGGAGACTGTCAGGATGTTCGGTAAATATTTGTTAAGCCAATGAGTTGGCATTTGACTTGGGTTTTGAAAAAGAGTCTGCCAGGAGGGCATCCAGGAGACCCAGGAAACAGCAATTCCAAAGGCAGCTGGGAGTCAGGATCACAGCCCCAGGTGGATGGTAAGCAGATGTGGGTACTGGGACACTCCCACGCTCCTGAAGCAGGTCCCTGTAGAATGGGGTGGGGTCCAGATGGAATAGGTCTTGCTTGCCCTATGAGAGGCGCACTTTATCCTTCAGGTGGTGGGATGTCTCAGGCTAGCAACAACGAATACAAACATCTATACCCAGGAATGCATCTCAAATTCAATTTTTTCCCTCTTTATCTCAAGAGCGGGTGCCTTAGTTGAGATTTATTGCCTTATTTTCGTAATAACCTTCTAATTAGTCCATCTAAGATCTGGCCTCTCTCCAAGCCATCTCCAAATCCGATGATGTCACTTCATACTTAATTCTATAATGCCCGTGGCCTCCAGGAGGAATTACAAGGACTTGTTGAGTACTGGCTCCAATTGACAGGCTCACTGCCTGTCAATCACCCTTGTATGGAGTCTCATCCCAGTGGATACAGTTCCAACTACACCACACTCTTGTTGTCTTTGTCCCTCGGCACTGGCCGATCTGATCCCTTTGCCCAGAATACCCTTCTCCGTCTCGTGCCTCGTACACTCTCTGTCTGGGACGCCATCTCCGGCCCCTGGTTTGAACTCTGTCAGTCTCTTCTGCTGCTCTGGCCTCTCAGAGCGGCCCCTCACAGCAGAGCGAGCCGCCCGCCACACAGGCTCCTCATCTGTCACACAGGCACGCCAGACCCATGCGAGAGAGAGTTGGATGCACTTTGATTGTCTCACCAGCTCATTCTAAGGACTCTGGGCTCACATCCTGGTTCTGTGTCTTGTTAGCTCTACTTAGCCTCTCAGTTCCTCATCTGTAAAATGGATAATTCTGGTTCCTACCTCATATGACCAGTAGTGGGTTCGTGTTTGTTAGCAGTTAATATAGCACCTGGCATACACAAGCCCTTAACAGAAGAGAGAGCCGCACGAAGTTCTCCAGGATATTACCTTGTCTCTCAGCACTTGGCAGGCTCTGATGTAACCTTGGACTTATTCATCCATTTCCCTGTTGGACTGGCTCCCTGGAAGGCAGAACTCCTGTCCTGGGATCCTCTGTATTTCCAGCGCAGCACTTGGGATGTGCTCAAAGTTTCACCAGGGAGAGTGGCAGATCTTGGGAGCCGCCTTCCTTCTCTTCAGCAAATGGAGAGTGAGGAATGTCTGGGAGCAGCTGCCTCATCAGGGATCCAGGGTGCTCACAGCACAGGGCTACTTGAGGACTTGGATTACCCACAAAGTATGAGAAAAATGTCTAGTTGGAGCAAGAAGAGATGGGAACAAGTTTTGTTGCAGAGCAAGGCAAGAGGCCATCCTAAGCTGGAAGTCCAGTGCACCGCTGGAAGAAGAGGTCACAAAGGGCCAACTAGGCATGCCTGGGACAGAGTTCTGTGCTAGGTCTATGCGGGAGACCTGCTCTTCTTCTGAGATGGAAATGCGTCTCATGTTCCAAATGGCCACCTGTACGAAAATACAGTTCTAGAACACAAGCCAGTCTTAAATCGAGACTGCTGGAGACTTCCTTTGGTTTACTTTGAGAAGTGCCTTTGCATTTCTTTCTTTCTTTCTTTTTTAAAATTTCTTTTTAGCTGTAGATGGACACAATATCTTTATTTTATATTTACTTATTTTTATGTGGTGCTGAGGATCAAACCCAGGGCCTCATGCATGCGAGGCAAGTGCTCTACCACTGAGCCCCAGCCCCAGCCCCATGCATTACTTATTCCTATCTTTCTAGTCCTAAGACCAGTTTGCAGGATTTGTCTAGAAGGGAGCGGCTGTGCCGGCTGCAGCCACATGATGGCAGTGGCAGTATGTCACAGAAGAAAGGGAAGCGAGGAGGGAAGGGCTCAGCTGCCTTTCCTTCCCATCAGAAGATTGCGATGCATAATGTGCGCCTAAACTGAGCTGATAAGCGGTGACAGATGTTAATGAAACGCTTTCCTGCTGAGGGTTTTCATGAAACCTCATTAACAGAGGCGACTTGCGTGTTCAGGAAGTGCTGGGTGGCTCGGCTGATATTTGTTATCTCAAGTTCTGGGTAAATGGGATTTAGGGGTGAGGAGAAGAGAGGGGACAGGTCCTGAGACTATCAGCATGTGCTCATTTGATAGCCTGGCTGGGTGTAAAACATGAGGCCCCTTCAGTTGGCCGTTGGCCTCTCTCCTGGGCTTTGGCCAGGAGCCCCCTGCTGGTCACTGACACACTCTCCTCCAGTCCCCAATCTCCTCTCTGCTCCACCCTCACTTTGAACACATGCCCCCCCCCCCTTATTTAGAAACCACCCACTCCGTGTTATCCATTCTCTGCAATTCAAAGAATCCACAAAGTGGGCAGGACAGCACTCTCCCAAGGCCCAGGTGGGTTTGCAGTCTCTCAATGGGGACATCCTGTGCCCTTTGTTCTCCTCACAACCCTGAGTGCAATTGTGTGCTCCGTTTAAGTTAGATCATTTGAACTTTGAAAACTCAGCAGGAGTTTTGATTTTTAAAAACCTTCACTGCTTCCTTATGCTGGCGTAAAGCTCTGTACATACAATGAAGGCAGTTAAAATGAAGTGACTGATTAGTTAACTCATGACTTATATTTGTGTTCAAGCCTTATACTTTGTATGACTTTAGACAACTAAAGTTGTCACCTCCAAGAGCCTTAGTCTTCTCAACTGCAAGATGGGGATGAAGACAGTTTTTTTTTTTCGTTTATTACCCAGCGATAGTGACCATTAGTGAATACAATTTACCTGAGTATGTTTTGAATTTTACATGGCTTGTATTTCATCTCTGAGCCAAGCTTAGCTAACCATTCAGTGTGGCAATACTATAATCAGGCCATTTTGTATTGAATAAAGAAATGTTTAATTACCTCTTATTTGGATAATGACACCTCATAAATTTGATTGTGTCTCACTGTTTATAAAGATAAAATACTACTATGGTTTAGCCTTAACCTACTCACACATACTCTGGCTTCCAAGGGCAATATAATTAGTTGCTTTTCTTTCCTGTTGGAGGCTTACATATGCAGCTGTAGCTGATGCTAAACCCTGAATTTTGTTTCACCACCTTGTGGAAGTCTGTGATTTGGGGGCTTCTGGTGGAGAAGGGAAGAGGGGAAGAAGTAGTTCTCCCTCTAGAAGTGTGTCCCCTTACTCTTCATCAACTACA